TCTGTTGCAGTTCCAAAGGCATGCTTCAGCATGACAGCAAAAAAGATCCCAAAAAGTGTTGGTGCGAGGACACAGCCCTGTTTCACTCCGCTTCGGATGTCAAAGGGATCTGATGTTGAGCCGTCAAAAACTACAGTGCCTTTCATTCCATCGTGGAAGGACCTGATGATGTTAAGGAGACGAGGTGGACATCCAATCTTGGGAAGTATTTTGAAAAGGCCATCCCTGCTAACCAAGTCAAATGCTTTTGTAAGGTCTATGAAGGCCACTAAGAGTGGCTGTTGTTGTTCCCTGCATTTCTCCTGCAACTGTCGGAGGGAGAATACCATGTCAGTGGTGGATCTATTTGCTCGAAATCCACACTGTGATTCCGGATAGACTCTGTCTGCAAGCACCTGGAGCCTCTTCAGCACAACACGGGCAAGCAGCTTCCCTACAACGCTAAGAAGAGAGATACCACGGTAGTTATTGCAGTCACCCCTGTCACCTTTGTTCTTGTACAATGTGACAATGTTTGCATCCTTCATGTCCTGTGGTACTCCACCTTCCCTCCAGCAGAGGCAAAAGATTTCATACAGTTCGGTGATGATGATCTCCTTACCGCATTTCAGCACTTCAACAGGGATGTTGTCCCTTCCAGGTGCCTTGCCAGAGGTGAGGGAATCCAAGGCCGCATTTATTTCTGCTAGGGTTGGTTCGCTGTCCAGCTCTTCCAAGACAGGCAGGCACTCAATGTTATTTAATGCTTCTTCGGTTACTACATTCTTTCTGGAATATAGCTCGGAGTAGTGCTGCACCCAGCGTTCCATCTGCTGTGCTCGGTCCTGGATGATCACACCTGTAGTAGACTTTAAGGGAGCAGATTTCTTCTGTAATGGACCTAAGGCCTGCTTGATACCATCATACATTCCTTTGATGTTACCTGTGTCCGCTGCTATCTGTATCTGAGAGCAAAGCTGAAGCCAATAGTCATTGGAGCATCTCCTGGCAGCCTGTTGGACTTGGCTACGAGCGGCTCGAAGAGCTTGCAGGTTGTACTCGCTAGGACAGGCTTTGTATGCTGCTAGAGCTCTTCTCTTATCCTCAATGGCTGGCATTAACTCCTCCGAATGGGCTTCGGACCAGTCAGCCATCTTTCTGGTCTTCTTGCCGAAGGTGGACAAGGCGGTGTTGTAGACAGTGTTCTTGAAGTGTTCCCATCGTTCAGGTGCATTTACATTAGCTGGACCTGGAAGGGTTTCCTCGAGTGCTTGGGCAAATTCCTTCACTTTTCTTTGATCGCGAGTCTTGTTGATGTCAATACGTGGTCTTCCTTCCTTTTTCATGTGATACAATTTCTTTGTTCGCAGTTTTACTCTACTACACACCAGGGAGTGATCAGTATCGCAATCAGCACTCTGGTAGCTGCGTGTGATCGTAACACTAGGAAGGCTAGAACGTCTAGTGAGGATCAAATCGAGCTGATGCCAATGCTTGGATCTTGGATGTCTCCAGGAAACTCTGTGTTGCAGCTTCGTATTAAAGAATGTGTTGCTGACACAGAGACCATAGTAACAGCAAAACTCCAGTAAGCGTTGGCCATTTTCGTTCATCTTTCCAATGCCAAAACGGCCTAGACAAGTGGGCCAAGAATTGTGATCAGCACCAACTCTAGCATTAAAGTCTCCAAGAATGAACAGTGACTCTCTTTCAGGGACTTTTTTGATAGTAGCTGCCAGATCGTCGTAGAATTTGTCTTTCACTTCTGGAGTGGATGACAGTGTTGGTGCATATGCACTAATGAGGGTTACTGGTCCTGCTGATGACTGCTATAAATGCACTTATATAGCAGTTTCCTATTTCATCAGGAAACTGCTATAATATGCCATACAAGCTGAAAGAGTTCTAGAGTAGCCTACTATTTCATCAGGAAACTGCTATGTAAGTGCATTTCTTTTTTCTTTCTCCCCCCCCTTTTTATGTAAAAATCCCTATCTAGAGAACTCCAACAATTAGATGTTTTTAAAAATTGTATTTTTATTATTATGAATACTTGCACACTCAATCGGCAGTATTACATGATTGCCAATACACCTGTGTCTACTGATTCAACGTCTGAACTGGCACACAAGATCAACATGAAGAAATATACACAGGCGCTTCTGAAAACTGGACAGTCTCCAACAACATGTACAACAAGATTTTAAGTAGTCATGCAAACATGTATTTTGTTCCCAAGCACATATTTCAGGAAGAGGGTATTTTATGATGCAAGTATTAATCACTGTGCCAAAAAATGCTAAGGCATGGAAAAGCCTGAGGCACAAGGTAGAATTTTTCAGCTTCTCCCAAATACTTAAAAAGAAGAAAGGAATGTAGATCCCAATTTGACCTCTGCACAACCATTTTGACCCTTACTCAGACAGGCAGGATACTTTAGCATGTCAGAGTCATGTTCTGTTGCAGAACACATAGATCTAGATCTACAATGCTGACACTTGAAGAGTAGTAAACAATATTCCCAAGGTTTGGCCACTTACCATGTATAGTTTTTCGTATGTTCAAAAAAATGATACATGGTGAATGGAAGAAACTTGGGAATACTGTCTCATCAAGTCTATTGCATCTTGCCAGTCAGGGACTTTTTTGATAGACAAAAATATATTCCTTGCAGTTTTTGCATTGTGGGTAGGAGGGTATTCAAATTGGGTTCAGAAAATACAAGATTCTCTAATCATTTTATCAGTCATCTCAATACAATGGAAGTCCCATGCGGTCAGAAAACACTACAGAAGTTATTCAATGCCATTTTTAAAAAAAAACGGTGTGGATGAGCTTTGATCTGGTTGTTTTTCACTATCTGCTAATTTAAAAGCAAGGAAACTGAGCTTTCAGCCTGAATGCCTATGGGAAATAAGTACATGCAAGATATAGTGCAAGTCTTTAAGATGCCATACAGCACTTCCTGTGGACTGGTTAAGCACTACTTGACCAAATTTAGTACTTAAGATGGGCATGTAAGGCAAACTGCTTTTCTTTGTGACAAACTCTAATAAAAACAGTATGTTCGATAATTTAGCATTATTCAATTGTTCCTCCTCTTTAATTATATTTGCTCATCTGGTTTGCACATATACACAACTATCTCTCTCTGTGGATTTAAAAGCATGTTATCCTTCTTGATTTTATGCTTACATATTCTAGGACATGATAGATAGATAGATAGATAGATAGATAGATAGATAGATAGATAGATAGATAGATAGATAGATAGATAGATAGATAGATAGATAGATAGAGAGAGAGAGAGAGAGAGAGAGAGAGACAGACAGACAGACAGACAGACAGACAGACAGACAGACAGACAGACAGACAGACAGACAGACAGACATTATTTTGGCACCTTAAAAACTAAAAAAATGATATTCAAGAAAGAAATCTGGTAGCTTTTATGGTGCCAGAACACTTTTTCCCCGCTTTGTTTCTGTTATACAGTACTGAAGTCAAGCCAATGCTCACAATCTGAGTTTGATCCCAGCTGGTTCAGGTAGCTAGCATAAGTTGCCGAAGCCAATGCTCACAATCTGAGTTTGATCCCAGCTGGCTCAGGTAGCCCAGCTTAAGTTGACTCAGCCTTCCATCCTTGCAAGGTTAGTAAAATTGGTACCCAGTTTGCTGGGAGGCAATTTGTTTGCATAATTATGTTGTAAACTGCTCAGAGTGAGCTTCAGTAAAACATGCACAACAACATATACAGTATATCCTAAAGCAGATTAACACAGTCACACTATTAAAATGTTTCTTGGCCAATACAAACTAACAAAACCAAGTGAGAGCTATACTATCCGCAGAGCAATGCCTACTTTTTTAAAGTAGTGATTGAATTGTTCTTAAAATTCTACATGTAAAACTGAAAAAGCTTATTCGCTAGTAGAACACTAGCATTTTATGGGAAACAAGTATAGGCCCTGACCTTTGGCTTGGTGCAATAGTCTTCCATCTGCAGTGTGATGTTTTAACACAAGATTATTCCCTCCACTATCTTGCAGACAGATGATGCCACCTCAAAGGTGCACTTGCATTAATTCACATCTCAGTGGCTTCCCAGTTCAAACACACTGAAAGGGAGCATATGATGCTGGGAGGCAATTTGTTATAAGGCTATCGAAGAACACATAAGGCTATATGCAATGTAACATATCCAATAAAGCTGGGCCTTAATGCAAAATAAATAAATAACAATGGAAATGCAGGTTGCCTTTATTTTTTTATAGACACCTTCCCCTTTTTCCCCCTTTCTCTTCAACTCATTTCCTCCTTGAATATGAGCATTTATAAAGTATCTTATCAAACACTCTGTATTTCATGTCAGTTCATCTAGAATAACAGTCACCGTTAAAAAAAAACCAATGGCCCTAGCCCCAAGTTTTGCAAAGCATCTGAGACGGAAGTTAAGAAGGTTACCATCATCAGTGTGACTTTATATAGTAAAAGCCGACAGTGACAGAACGTGGCAGATGAGAGCAAAGGAGAGAATGAAGTCCACTTCTTATTACAGATGCGCGGGGGAAGACTTCCCTATGACGTTCTGAAGGGGAGGAGGAGGAGGAGGAGGAAACGAGCCTTAGCTCCCCCCTTACCCACCCACCCCTCCACCTCGATAGGGAGGAAGGCACTGAGCAAGACGGGACATCGCAGTTCCCAGGGCGGACAGACGGGCCACCCTCCTTCCTTCCTTCCTTCCTTCCTTCCCTCCCGCGCACCCCACCCACCCGACGGTCCAACCTCGCTCCGGGAGTCAGGCGGGCGGAAGTGTGCGCTTCCCCCTCCAAGCCGTCATCGGTCAGGGCGGGATCCCCGCGGCCCCTTCGCAGAAGTCTCTCTCTCTCACACACGAAGTCTCTCTCTCTCTCTCTCTCTCTCACACACACACACACACACACACACACACACACAGAGTCCTCAGGCAGACCCGTCGCTCACACTCACACCGCAACCCCTCCACCGCCGCCTGCCCTTACCTCTCGAAAAGGTGCCTCAGGAGAAAGATGCCGGCCGCTAGCGGGAAGGCGGCCAGAACGTGGCCGGTGCGGTATCCGGCCCCTCCTTCGGGACCCTCGTCCCGCTCCAAATTGGCCCAAGTCACGTTGGCCGGAAACCAGAAGCGCTCGTTCCACAGCCCGCTCCACAGCCAGGAGGCAGCCGCTGCCACCACCGCCATCTTCTCCCCCCCTCCCGCCGGTCGCCGCCCTACCGGGCTGCCGCTACCTCCAGCCTTCGCCTTCGTCGTCGCCGCCGCCGCCGTGAGGGAAAAGGGGGCGGGGCCTGGCCGCGTGCACGCCCATGGAGCTTGATAGGGACGCCCGCGAGGCCGCCCCGTCTTTTGCCTCCCAGTTACGAGACTCTTAGAGAAGGCAAGAGAGACGCATGCGCTCTCTCGTCTAAGAACTCTTCTTCTTCTTCTCCTCCCTCCCCTCCCCTCCCGTTCCCGCCCCTTTCCAAAGAGTGACTGGAAGCGAATGAGAGCGCGGGGATAAAAGGGCAGAGAAAGAGAAAGTAAAGGCGTGGAGGGAAGCTGGGTGGGTGGGAAGAAATGCAGCTAGACACGTGCTGCCCTTTTAGGGCTTTGCTGTGGCCAAGTGAGGCGGCTTGCCGAGGGTCTCAAAATACGAAACATCCTTCGTTTAAATTACTAATGTTTCTTAAGAGAGGGCAAGATAGCTCAGTGGGCTAGGTATCTGGATGCAGACCCATTGGTTGGAAATCCAATTCCTCACCATTCTTCCTGGGAGAAAAGCCTGCACATTCCCAGGGCAGCCTCCTGAAGAAATGAATGGCAAAGCACTTCTGAGTAGTCTCTACCTAGAAAACCCTGTAAAGGGCCACGATAACTCAGAATTGACTTGACAGCAGACTGATTACATGTTGATTGATTGATTAGGCATCCTTCAGTCTCGAGACTATGGTAACATGGTCTGTATCGACTTGGAACAGCATCTAGTGTGGTTGAGAAGGCCAATTCGAGAGTAATAATCCCTTCCACAATGAAGTCAAACCAAGTCTGTCCCCTGTTCTGCTCCCTGATTTTGCTGCTTTTGGGACTACCTCTTTGCCTCGGCCTGCTGGACAAGGGTCTCTTCAAACTGGGAGAGGCCGTGATGCAACGCCTGCCTCCAGGCTGAACACTCAGATGTCAAGGTTTCCGATCTGTTGAGGCCCATTCCTAAGGCCTTCAGATCCCGCTTGCAGATATCCTTGTATCACAGCTGTGGTCTCCCTCTGGGGCGATTTTCCTGCACTAATTCTCCATGCAGATCTTTTGGAATCTGACCATCAGCCATTCTCACGACATGCCCGAGCCAATGTAGACGTCGCTGTTTCAGTAATGTATACATGCTAAACATTCCAGCTCGTTCTAGGACTACTCTATTTGGAACTTTGTCCTGCCAGGTGATGCCAAAAATCCGTCAGAGGCAACGCATATGGAACGTGTTCAGCTTCCTCTCCTGCCGTGCACAAAGGGTCCAGGACTCACTGCAGTACAGGAGTGTGCTTAGGACACAGGCTCTATAGACCTGGATCTTGATATATGCCGTCAGCTTCTTATTGAGCCATACTCTCTTTGTGAGTCTAGAGAACATCGTAGCTGCTTTGCCAATGTGTTTATCCAGCTTGAAATCTAGGGAGAGGGTGTCAATTAGGGTTACATACATGATTGTACTGTATATGTATGTAACCCTAATTGTTATATATTAATAAAATAATATAATTATATATGTATAAATATAATAATACAAGAGATCTTTGGGGGATTTTCTGCCTCAGATGTCACTGGATTAAGCTTAAATATGATTTACCTGAATGGACAGGCATGCACCTGAATTCTTTAAGCAACAAAAAGTTGTGAGCTAGGGAATTTAGTCCTGTTGCTAATATCTTGTATGCAGATGTGAAGATTTTCTGTGTAAATTTTGGGGAGACAGGCAGTGTTAAGGAATAAACCTAAATATAATCCAGTCCAAAATAGAGTACGCCTACTTTTTGTCTTTATTCCTACCAGAGTATGGCACAATTTAAAATTATGGACATAAATGGAATATAGGTAAAGTTTAAAATGAATTAAAATGTTAAGATAATTAGATTGTGGTTGACCAGAAGCGGGCTACTTCAACAGCATTATCTCAGCCATTTGCTAGATCTTCTTTTGTATACATCAGACCTGGGCAAAGTGCGGCCTGAGGGCCACATATGACCCGCAAGCCGCTCCTGTCCAGCCCGTGGACAGTTTTGAACATCACAACCATTTATGGCTTCTTGTCTAAAGTTGATCGGTTGCTTATCTTTAACATACCACAAAAAAACTCTTTAGTATTTGTGAAGATTAACAAGTTTCAAATAAGAACAATCATAATGTCACTGTTTCATTTTATTTTTAAGTAAAGTTGGTTCGGCCCCTGAACACAGTTCAGCTTTTTCAAGTGGCCCCCCTATAGAAATTAATTGCCCATCCCTGGTATACATGGTGAGCTATAAATTGCATGCACTTAAGTGCTACATTGACTGAATTTCTCCTCAGTCACAGAAAATTTGCCCTGTATCCAATTATCCCCATTTTACTTGATTATTCTTTGATTTTCCTACAGCTAGTCCTGGTGAGAGGCATTCTTCAGCATTCATCCATTTGGCAAGATTTGTTGTTTTTGTTCTCCATAGGTTTAGCCTAGCCTCTTCCTGTTTAATATTTAGAGCTTGAGAGGTGTGCAGAAAAATTTTCCTCAGCTTTAGCATTTGTCTAGGACGGTCGTTCTCAATGGAGGGGCACATGTCTTCTTTGGGGCCCTGGAACATTTGAAGGGCCCACAGGCTGAAATAATCACACATAATCTTATAACATCCTTTATGCCCGAGGTCCCCAACCCCCGGTCAGTGGCCCAGTACCATGGCCTTTGCAGGACCGGGCCACGGAGACAGATCTCCCACCCCCTGCATGTACACCCCCCACGCACACACAGAAGCATGCATGCCCCCCACATGCACGTACAGGCGCCCTGCCCACCCGTGCACATGTGCCACTGCAACCAACACATGCATGGATGGGTACCCCTCGCTCACCTGCACATGTATTCATGGCTGCCACCATCCATCCCACATGTGCGCACGGGTGCCAATGCCCAACCACGCATATGGGCTCCCCATCCCCACATATGGGTGCCCTGCCCCCCACGCACAGACAACAACACACAACCCCAACCGGACCGTGGTTTGGAAAAGGTTGGGGACTACTGCTTTATGCGACTTATACAGTCCTGGTTCAGCCTACATTTCTTTCTAGAGATGGACCTGAATTAATTCAGGCCGCTCCATACAAAGTACACCGCACTGCACCATGGGTGCTACATGGGTCTACCTCTCATCTCCTGGACCAGCTGGCCACTTACCTTTTGTTGTGCAGTACCAGGTACATGCGCCAGATTATGGAGAAAGCCAGAGAGTTCTAGAAAAATATCTACTTCTGCTTCATTGACTACGCAAAAGCCTTTGACTGTGTGGACCACAGCAAACTATGGCAAGTCTTTAAAGAAATGGGAGTGCCTGAACACCTTGTCTATCTCCTGAGAAACCTATACGTGGGACAGGAAGCAACAGTTAGAACTGGATATAGAACAACTGATTGGTTCAAAATTGGGAAAGGAGTAGGACAAGGCTGTATACTGTCCCCCTGCCTATTTAACTTATATGCAGAATACATCATGTGAAAGGCTGGCCTGGAGGAATCCCAAACCGGAATTAAGATTGCCGGGAGAAATATCAACAACCTCCGATATGCAGATGATACCCCTCTGATGGCAGAAAGTGAGGAGGACTTAAAGAACCTCTTAATGAGAGTGAAAGAGGAGAGTGCAAAAAACGGTCTGAAGCACAACACACACACAAAAAAACTAAGATCATGGCCACTGGTCCCATCACCTCCTGGGAAATAGAAGGGGAAGATATGAAGGTAGTGACAGGTTTTACTTTCTTGGGCTCCATGATCACTGCAGATGGAGACAGCAGCCACGAAATTAAAAGACGTCTGCTTCTTGGGAGGAAAACGATGACAAACCTTGACAGTATCTTAAAAAGCAGAGACATCACCTTGCCAACAAAAGTCCGAATAGTCAAAGCTATGGTTTTTCCTGTAGTGATGTATGGAAGTGAGAGCTGGACCATAAAGAAAGCTGACCGCCGAAGAATTGATCCCTTTGAATTGTGGTGCTGGAGGAGACTCTTGAGAATCCCCTGGACTGCAAGGAGAACAAACCTATCAATTCTAAAGGAAATCAAACCTGAGAGCTCACTGGAAGGACAGATCCTGAAGCTGAGGCTCCAGTACTTTGGCCATCTCATGAGAAGAGAAAACTCCTTGGAAAATACCTTGATGTTAGGAAAGTGTGATGGCAAGAGAAGGGGAGGACAGAGGTTGAGATGGTTGGACAGTGTCTTCGAAGCAACTAACATGAATTTGACACAACTACGGGAGGCAGTGGAAGATAGGAGGGCCTGGGGTGCTCTGGTCCATGGGGTCACGAAGAGTCGGACACGACTAAACGACTAGACGATGACAACCAGGTAATTCATGTCCAGCAGCGCTCCAGTCCAGGGAGCAGCCTGGGGTGACCATCCCTGCCTCCTCCAGCAGTTGATCACTCATCAGCTGCTTAGAGACCATCTCCATCTGGCCTCATCGGAATGGTCAGCTGTCAGAGGAGGCAGGGATGGCCAGCCTGGGCTCCTGCTTGGATTGAAGCACCACCAGAAACAAAGGAGTCCGGCAGCATGCAACAAAAAATAAGTGGCCCAACAGACCCAGTGAGATGGACCATCGCTATTTCTTTTATACAGTGGTACCTCGCAAGATGACAACCTCGCTAAATGACAAATCCACATAACGATCATTTTTTGCGATCGCTATAGCAATTCACAAAACAGTCATTCCAATGGGGGATTTTTGCTGGACATTGATTAGGCCCGTGCTTCACAAACCATTTGTTTGCAAGACAACGATTTTTTCCGCTGATCGTCGGCTTCGCAAAATGGCTGCCCTGTGTTTTCTAGACCCATGCTTTGCAAGGCAGCCATTTTTACAGCTGATCGGCGCTCGCAAAATGGCTTCCCTATGGGCGATCTTCGCTGAACGACGAGGTATTTTCCCCATTGGAACGCATTAAACCGGTTTTCAATGCATTCCAATGGGGAAACGGTTTTCGCATGACGACGATTTTGCTAAACAGCGATTTCAATGGGACGGATTATCGTCGTCATACGGGGCACCACTGTATTGTGTTTTTGGCCATGGCAAAAAAAAAGGTTGAGAATGGCTGGTCTAGGGGGTCATGTCCATGAAGAGGATGGGTGTGTGCTGTATTACCTTATTTTGTTCATTATTTGGTAGC